ATGCTGTTGGCAGCAATCCTCAGGTGGGTCTTCCATACCTAGCACCATGATGATTCAGTTCAGCTGGATGTTACAAGTTGCCCATTATTTAATCCACCATTCGTGCCTATAGGCCCCTGTCCCTACATCATCACTATCACCATCACCATCACCCTCTCTACCACCATCACCATTATTATTATTGTTCTATTGCTGGGGATTGAACCTAGGGCCTTGTGTATGCTAAATTTGTACTCTGCTTCTGAATTATACCTCTACCCTCAATTTCTTTTATATAATGCATGTTGATTACTTGTAATGAGGGAAAACACAATACATTATTTCAAAAAATAAGCTGGTTGCCCATGAGAAATATAAATGTTAGAGCATAAAATATATTTCTCTCCAGCATTTATGTTTCTCTTATGAATTTTCATTGAGTGGATGTTGTATGACCATTGTCAGCTAAAAACTATGCTGTAAAGACAGAGTTCCTTACTCTGTTTCTTTATAATACCTTCAGTGCACGACGCTGGCTTCATACTAAAGTGCAGTAAAAGTAAATCTGCAAAAATGAAGTAGTAGAGTTTTTGGCAAAGGACCTACAATCTAGAGTTCACATCATATTTGTGCGCTGGCTGATATAATTTGGAATTTAAATATTCCCCCAAGACTCGTGTATTAAAGGCTAGGTAGGGTTGGGGAGATAGCTCAGTAGAATAAGCACTTGCCTAGCAAGCACAAGGTCCTGAGTTCATGGCTGGATTTAGAACCCCTTGACTCCCCAGTAATTATAAATATGTTTTAGTGTCTTTACTTTTGCCATGGATTGCACTGGGAGTGGTAGATTGGAATTAACTTGGTGGGATTCCAATAACATGTCTTTGGGATTGTAAATATTAACTTCTTGGACTGAGAACAAAAACCAGGAAGGGACTCCTATAACCATCTCCCTACCTTCCTCTTGCACAGGATGGAGATGTTTATCAATTGAGGACCTTGACCTTGTGGTGAATTGCTTCATTAAACTTCTAAACTTAAGTTGATGCAATGTATCAACCATAGCAGTAACAGAAATCTAACCTACACACTGGACTTCATACATGTGTTTTGGATGGGTCTTTTCATGAATCTCCTAAAATATGCGAAACGATCTTGGTCCAGTACAACATATTTGTAATTTGAGCTACTTAGACAACTAAGGCAAGATTGCAAGTACCAGCTCAGGCAGCCTAGGCTACATAGTAAGACACTGTTTAAAAAACAAATAAATAAGAAAAAGGTCTGCTAGATAGTTTAGCAGATTAAAACGCCTGACCAGGGTTCAATAGGCAGACACAAGGACTGGGGTTCAATCCCCGGCGTGTTGTGCCAGCCCTGCTCCTGGGGGGTGCGTGGTAGTGCACACCTGTAATCCCAGCATTTGGGAGGCTGAAAACAGGAGGATCTAGAGTCTGATCTGTGTAGTGAAACCCTGTAAACTCTCTACTAACTACATTTAAAAAAAAAAGCTAGATATAGTGGTACACAACTGTAATTCAAACATCTCTAGAAAGTTAAGCCAGGAGTATCTCAAATTTGAGCCTATCTTGGGAGGCAGCAACTTAGTGAGACTGTCTCAAAAGAAAAAAATTTAAAAATGGGCTGGGAACGTGGCTTGGTGCAAGGCCTTGGGTTCAGTTCCCAGTAATACACCAAAAAAAGAAAAAAAAGTAAAGGAAAATCTGGGTACAGTATATGTGCATTCCCTTGAGAGGAGAGCTGCAAATTGCAGCTGTAGCAACTGGATAATGCCTCTTCCTGTATAAATTGATGGTCTGATACCTACCTATAGGGATTTTTTTTTTTAAAGATCAAAACTAATAAAGCACGCAAAGCACTTTGCACAAGTGCCTTATATGGTAAACAATCAATATATGATAGCTACTAATATTGTCTTGACTATAGGTGAGAACATAAACATCTCATGTCCTTCAATTATTCATTGAACAGGTATTTATTTGTACTGGGAATTGAACTCAGGACTTTCCTCTTGCCAGGAAGCTTCTGTGAGCTTCTGAACCACTAAGCCATATACCTGGCCCCTTATCAGGTATTTATTAACTGGTATTTGTGTGTATGAGGTCTTAAAGATCTCTGTCTAACTTATTCCTCGTCAGTAAGAAGGTTGCTTGAGCCCAGGAGTTGGAGGCCAGCCTGGATGATATAGCAAGACCCTGTCTCAAACAATCCATCCTCACTGGCACATGCAAGGGACTGAGTTCAATCTCCGGTTGGGGGAGGGGGGGAATCCATCCTCTTCAATCCTCTATGTGATTGGTACTATTATCTGTGTTTATTTTTTATAAATGGTACTTTTGATATTAGCACATTATTTAATCATATTTTTAATTATTTATTTTTCTCTTTGAGACGGGGATATATGTGTGTGTGTATATATATATATATATATATATATGTTTATTTACTTATTTATTTTGAGGCAGGGTCTTGTTATGCAATTCAGGCTGGCCTGGAGCTCACGCTGTAGCCTGAGATGGCCTTGAACTTGCAATGACCCTCCTGCCTCAGCCTCCCAAGTGCTGGGATTATAGGCATGTGCCACCATGCCCAGCTCATCCTGTTTTTATTCCTGGTTCTTTCTTCCGAGATTCAGAACCACATGTATTACCTAGATGTCCTCCCAGGAAACTTTAAATTGGGTTATGTTTTGCCAATAATCTCAGTGCCTAGCACCTACTAAATCGTCTACAAAAATAAGTTATTATTGGTCATAAGGGTTATTTTATTTTATTCCCTGCTGTCTGATCCATTTTCTTTTGCTATTCCTCCGTAGGTTCCCCAAATCACTTATTTTCTGGCAGCACCCTTGGCCCTGGGTTAAAGGCCTGATTAGACATCCCTGTGGGAAGCCCAGAGGAGAATTCAGCCTGGTTCTCCCGCCTGCAGGGAAGAACTGAAGTGATGAAAATGAAGGCATTGCCATGCCAGGATCACGGTATCCCAAACAATCAGTTTGGTGTTGAGAATTTGCTATCAATATGCAGCACATGAAATTCTCTTAGGGCAGACACCCAGGTTGTGCCAGTAAACGATTCCTGGGGACTGGATTGTGTTTCCTGACACCACAGGAGTATGTGCAGAGGAGTAGGATTGATGCTATTAGAATAGTTACAGCAACAGGGTCTGCTGAAATCCCCAGAATTTTAATTATGTTTCTTGAAGCTACAATAGGGGAAATTTGGAAGGCTCAACCAATGAAGCACACAGGGCAAACAAGCTGAGGAAATAGACCAGATTCCAATCCTACTTTGCCTTGCCCTATCTGAGCGACAGCAAGAGACCTTATCATGCTGATCCTGTTTCGCGTCAGTAGGAAGCCTCCCAGTTATGGAATGCTCATTGTTCAGTCAAAACACATGGATTGTCCTCGTTCCACCACGGATGGCTTGAAGGCATCCAGGAGTTCGAGGTCAGCCTGGGCAACATTGCATTTCAAAACAACAATAAATCAATGAAGAATGTATTGATTTTTTAAAAAATTATTTTATTTTAGGGAAGTGTCTACAGGGTGTTCAGGGTCTCACTATTAGATCAGACTCGTAGTGATCTGCCTGTTTACAGCCTCCTAAGAGCTGGGATTACAGGCCCACGCCACCACGCCTAGTCTCAATTGCCATCTCAGGGCGCCCTGGGGGTGGGGCTGGCCCGGCAGGCCCAGGAATTGAACCCCTGGCCCCTGTGCCTGCTTGCAGGCACTTTAACCCGGTGAGCTATTTGGCCTGCCCTTATTGATTTTTTTTAAATACAGAAATTGTAATTCTCCTACATGCACAATAACCCCTGAAGACTTAAAAACGAGTAATAAATCTTTGTCTTTTGAAGACAGAAATCATACAAAATAAAAAATGCTTTATATGCAATATATATTACATATATATATTCATTTTTAAAAATTTGTTTATTTATTTATGTGTGTGGGTGTGTGTGTATGTGTCCAGCTCAGCCCACCAGGGGGCAGGGCTGGCTGGCATGTGGTGCTGGGGGATTGAACCGCGGTCCCTGTGCTTTGCTTAGTTTAGCTTGTTCTAAGTAGGTGCTTTAGACCACTGAGCCATCTCACCAGCCCCCTATATATTCATTTTTTGAAACAGTGTCTTGCTATTTAATTCAAGCTGGCCTCGAACTCACTAAATAGGCCTAGGCTAGCCTGGAACTCTAGGTGATCCTCCTACCTCAGCCATCCCACTGTTGGGATCACCAGCGTGTGCCACCATGCCCCGCCTTAACTTTTTTTTTTTTTGTACTGGGGATTGAACTCAAGACCTTGCACTTGTCAGGCAGGCACTGTGCCACTGAGCTATATTCGCGGCCCTTGGCCTTAGCTTTATATGTATTAAACACGCCTAAATTCTTTAACTATCTCATTAAGTAGGTACAGTCAGTATCTTCCTCCCTCGTTTGGTAATAATATTCTAAAGAGAAGCAGAAGGATCGGGCGGGAAATTGCTGGCAACCTATCAAGTCTCCACAAGGGTTTCAGAAGTCTGAGAAACAGAAGTCAATGTGTATAATTATGTGGCAAATAGGACTATCTACCAGTGTCCGACGGTAACTGATTAAGTGCCGAACTGTGATATCTGCCGGTGTCGGACGCGTTATTTTTTGGGGTACTGCCCTCGCGTACTTTCTCGGTATTGCGATTTCTCCCAGATCTGGGTCCAGGGAACAAGTTCTACGTAGTTTTTCAGGAAAGGCGCGCCGGCCTCTGCCGCCTCAGCCAGTCTTGCTATAGTAGGCGTACCCTTAGGAACAAAAGCTTTCCGAGTGACTACCGCGATAGCCACTCAATGCTGAGCACCGGCCCGCGCCTCTCTTTAGCGTGGAATTTCCAATTGGCGGAGGAGCCCTAAAGAAGGTAAATGGACAAGTCCCGCCTCTTGTAGTGCTGTCAGCCAATCACCGTGTGTGGGAAATATGAGTTAGGTTGCGCTGTGTGTAGAGTTCTCGGAGGCCTGAGGGCGGGGTGGAGAGGCGGCCCGGAGCAGCCGGGAGGGGATAATTCCCCCGGGCGCGCGGAGCTAGGACGGTGACAGCCACGCGCGCGCGTGCGCGCCAGGCTACAGCGCAGCCGCGAGACCCCCGCCGGCCGCTTAGAGGCGCCCCTGGTCTGGGTCGCCGCCGTCTAGTGTACCCTAGTTCTGCGACGTCCCGGTCGTCCTCGACCTGAGTCCGCGAGCGCAGGGCCGCACCCGTCCCGTCGGCCCCAGTCCATTTCCCTCCGCGTCCCTGTAAGGGCCTGCCCCCCAACTCTCCTTTCCCGGGGCAGGGTCCTCGCGGCCCATGCTGGCCGCTGGGGACCCACGCAACCCCAATCGCTCTTGGGCCGGCCAGCCGGCCACCATGGTGGTCTTGAGGCCTGTGCGGCTCTTTCAGGGGGGCTAACCGGTTCAGAGCGTAGGTTTCGGGGCGAAAGGGCCCCGGGCCTGAGCCTCGCACCATGGCTGGGGCCATCGCTTCCCGCATGAGCTTCAGCTCACTCAAGAGAAAGCAGCCCAAGACGTTCACGGTGCGGATCGTCACCATGGACGCCGAGATGGAGTTCAATTGCGAGGTAACCAGTTGGCAACCCCGACGGGCTGTGGCGAAGGAGCCCGGTGGAATCCTGGCCCGCCCGACCCAGGCGCGCAAGCGGCACCCACTGGGCACCTACTCGGGCGCCCTTGCCATGGTGACAGTCGAGTTGGAAGTTGAGGGATTCTGTTTACGTCATCCTGTGGGCATGGATAGAGACGGTTGGAACCGGAAGGGACCATCTAGGCCCTACTTCACAAGTTAACAGCTAGTTGTTACCTTTTCAAGTGGGATTTTCGGGTTTAGTCCTTTGTGAAGGTTGTTTTCATTCATTGTTGCTCGAAAAGACAGGAAGGTTCCTTGGTAGCGGATTCTGCTTTACCGTGTCAGGTTTAAGTTTAACTTCTAGGGAGTTTTTCCTTAGGTAATGTAATGTCCTGCAAATATTAAAAGTTACATCTCATTTATCGGAAAGTCTATACTTGTTTCCATTTTCCAAATCTCAAGATTTCTGCGGGAAAAAACAAAACAAAAGACAAAATTGAGGAAAGAGATCGTTCCTTACCTTGTACTTACCGTGCAATTTTCAGCATGATGATAACAGCTATTGTTTGTTCAGTATTTTGTCAGCCATTTACACATTTCACCCTTATAATAACCAAGTGAGATAGGTACCTGTCATTTTGTAGAATATGTATTTAATCCGGTCTCCTGGTATACAACTTCTAAAATCCTTGGAATCTGCAAAGTAGTGTCTTTTGGTGTTGTAAGACCTCTCTGCAGGCAGATCCTAGGTAGGCTCTGGATAGAGGTTGATCACAAAGGTGGAGACTTTATTAAAGGTTGTAATTTTTCAACTCTACCCCCACCTGGAGGAGGGGAGAGGGACTGAGTGGTAATCTGGCCAAAAATGGCTAGAGATTTAATTGATCATGCCTGTGTAAGGAGACATCCATAAAAACCCCAAAAGACAGCTACCAGATAGTTTGGAGAACTACCAGATAGCTAAACGTGAAGGTTCTTGTAGGATTGGAGTCCTAGGAAAAGGCATGGAAACTCTGTGCCTTTTCCTATAATCCTTGGCCTCACTCATTTTTTTCACCTATGGCCATTGTGATATATCTTTTGTAACATGTATGTGTGTTTCCCTTTAGCTTCTGTGAGGTACTATAGCAAACAACTCAAAATGAGGGTTGTGGGAACCCCCCTTTATAGCTGCCTGGTCAGAAGTACAGGTAAATAAACCTGAGACTTGTGATTGGCATCAGAAATGGTGGCAATCTTGTAGGACTAAGTCCTCAACCATGGAATCTTACACTATCTCTAGATAGATCATGTCAGAATTGAATTGAATTAGCATAGACTCCAAGATCTTGAAGAAAAGGCTGGGTTGGTTGCTTGTGGGGAGGAATGCCCACGCATTTCTTGGCTCCTGTGTTGCTTGTTGGGTGTATAGAAAAAAAGAAAAAGCTTTAATTTTTTTCCTATGTCTGCACAGTACCTCAAAGATTTTGGGTTTTGGACCAAGATCTTAGCCAGTGTAATACTGCCTTTCAAGTAATTTGCTACTTGAAACTCAAAATGTGGTTCATGGAACAGCAGCACTGACAGCAATAATCTTAAATCAGGGTTGGTGAATTTTTTTTTTTTTTTTTTTTTTTTTTTAGTACAGGATCTACAGGGTCTTACTACATAGATCAGACTTGTAGTGATCCATCTGTTTTCAGCCTTCCAAGCACTGGGATTACAGGCATGCCACTATACCGAGTCTCATTTGCCAACTCAGTGCGCCCTGGGGGCAGAGCTGGCACAGCATGCCAGGGATCGAATCCCAGTCCCTGTGGCTGCCTAAGCAGGTACTTTAGTCTGCTGAGCTATCTCACTAGCCCTGGTGAACATTTTTATAGGTCTCATAGTCAGTCTTTTCAGTTTTGCAGGGCATAGGCAATTGATGGTGAACTTTTTGAATTTTCAATGATACAAGCAGCCTGCTACATTACATATGTCATAGGTTTGCCACCACTGCCATAGAATCTCCATTGGAACTACCCAGCAGTTCATCTCTGCTGTTATGTAGTGCAATCCTTAGAAAGGATTGACCTCTCACATAATTGTGTGAGGAGGTCCACTGACTCATTCTCTTATAAAACTTGTGAAAATTATCTGCAATCTTGGCAATTAAACTCAGGAGTGCTGGATTAGACTCTTGGATTTTTTTTTATTTTTATTTTTGCTTGTTTATTTATTTATTTTGAGACAGTCTTGCTGTGTAGTGCAGGCTGCCTTGAACTTGCTTATAGAGCCAGGGCTGGCCTTGAACTCAGTGATCCTTCTGTCTCAGCCTCCCATATGCTGGGGATACAGGCATGCACTACCATTCCTGGAAGTTCATTTTTATTTATTTATTTTTTGTTTTTGGTGCCGAGGACCGAACCCAGGGCTTCTAGCTTGCCAGGCAAGCATTCTACCGCTGAGCCAAATCCCCAGCCCCTGGAAGTTCATTTTTGAGATAGCCTTATTAAGTTTTTGGTCTAGGTTTGAATGTGCAGTTCTCCTGCTTCAGCCTCTTGAATAGTTGGGATTATTGGCAGGTACCATGGCTTCTGGCTATGAAGGTTATTAAAAAGGGAAGGGGGTGCTGGGGAGATAGCTTGGTGGTCTAAGTGCCTGCCTGGCAAACCCAAGGACCCAAGTTTGATCCTGGGACCAAATGCTATGCTGGTGCCCAAGCCCTGGGTGTGCTGTGCTGCCCCAAAACGGCATCATGGCACACACCTATTATCCCAGCACTGGGAAGGCTGAGACAGGAGGATCACAAGTCTGAGCTGTGTAATGGAACCTTGTGCCAAATAAAAAAATAAATAAAAAATGTTTCAAAAGCTGGATGTTGTGGCACATTCCTATAATCCTTGCATTTGCTGAGGCAGGAAGATCACTGTGAGTTCAAGGGTCACCTGAGCTACATAATAAGTTCAGGACCAGCCTGCCTATATAGTGGAAACTCTTATGTCAAAAGAAAAGAAAGAAGAAAGAGAAAGGCTGGTGCATGCCTGTGATCCCAGTATTTGGGAGGCACTGAAGCGAGATCAGCATGAGCCCAAGGCCAGCCTGGGATACATAGTTTCTCTAAAAACAACCAGTGAAAATTTGGTAAGAAAGAGACTTAGTCTCCCCCTAATCCCACAACTCGGTGAGGCAGATTCCAGATTGCTATAATCTGTAACCCAAGCCCTCTCTCCTTCAACCACCAATCAAAGGGTTATTTTCTCAGGAGGGATGGGACTTTGGTGTCTCTCATCCTAGTCAGAGTTACTTGTTGTTGAGGCTAATTTCTGGATGATTGTTCCTGGGCTCAGAGCTTTTAAATTAATAAATAAATAAATTTTTTTTTTCTTTTTTCTTTTTTTGGTGGAACCAGGGATTGAACTCAGACCCTTGCACTTGTCAGGCAAGTACTTATTCTACTGAGCCATCTCTCCCGCTCCTTATTTTTTTGTTTTTCTGAGACAGGGTCTAGCTATATAGTTTAGGCTGGCTTTGACTCACTGTGTAACACAGGCTGGTTTTCTTGCCAATCCTCTTGCCTCAACCTTCTCCCAAGTGCTGAGATTATAGATGTGTGCCACTATGCTTGAATTTATTTTGAGACAGAGTCTCAGTGAGTTGCTAAATTGCCCAGGCTGGACTCCACAATTTGTGATCCTCCTGCCTTAGCCTCCCCAAGTACTGGAACTATAGGCATGCACCAGCAGTTCTAATAGGGCATCTTTCTCCCACCCAGTTCCTATTTGTGGAATGGGGGAAAACATATTGAAATAACTTAGGCTGTGACTGCTCTTGCCTCAGCCCCAGCTCATGAGTTGCTGCTGCAGCAGCTGGAGGCAAGCTAAGACCTCAGGTGAGTGTGTTCCCTTGTCTCCCCCCCCTCCAATCCTCTTTGATGAAGTTCTCTGCCTTAGAGTGGGAGAGTTACAGGGATGATATCAGAACCTACAAATATGATATAAGAGAAATTATATCTTCCAGTCTGTTAGATGTCTGATATGCCGAGTTTGTGTTGCCATGGTCCCCTTTTCCATCTCCAGTGCTCCTGGTTCAAGGTCCCATCCCTCTCCCCCCCCACACTGGGGATTGAGCCCAGAGAACACTAAGCTAAATCCACAGCCCTTTTAAATTTTTTTTTTTTTGCGGAACTGGGGATTGAACTCAGGCCCTTGCGTTTGCCAGGGAAGAGCTTATTCCACTGAGCCATCTCCCCGGCCCCTAAAATTTTTATTTTGAGACAGTGTCTTATTAAATTGTTCAGGTTGGTCTCAAATTTGTAATCCTCCTGCCTCAGCTTCTGGGATAGCTGGGATTATAGGTGTCTACACCACTCCCAGTTGGGTCAGGAATTTTGCTCAAGGAAAGAAGCAGGTCTTAGAACAGGTTGTTCCTGGTTGGAGGTATAGCTCAGTGAAATAGTAGATGAGGAGGGCCCTGGGTTTAATCCCCAGTGCAGAAAACAATGAACCAAATTGAAACCCAGTTTACTCCTAATTTTTTGCGAAGGAAGTAACTTCATCTGTGACACATTGTGAACTCCATGCCCAAGGATATTTTTTTCTGCTAAGGGTACTTGAGAACAATGGAAGGTAGTGAGAAGCAGTTGGGAATTTTGTAGGTTTATTGGAGAATCAGCCTATACCAGTTATGGATGAATCTTTTTAGAGATCGAGTGCTCAAACTGCACCTCAAAACCCTCTTATATGTCGCAAGGTGCCAATGCTGCAATTAAAGCAGACTATAGTACCGAAGTTTTAGTTTAGAAAAAGACAACTGTTATCTGAGGCTGCTGGGGTGACTTAGCTAATGTGTCAGTAGAGAAGGATCTGTGTACCCACTCTGGTTGCATGCCATAGGTTCACCACCATTGGCCTAGACTGTAGATCTCCCAGTTTGGTTCCTGTAGATCAGGAACCAAACAGAGAAGAGTACCCTTCCTGAAGTAGGACCAAGTATCAAACATTGATTTCAGAAATAGGTCCCTCAAAACAGCTC